TAGAATCTCAACATCTGTGGGGTTCGAGGCCAGCCCAGGAGATGCTCCTGTGTTCACTCCCTGCGTGGCCACACCCAGTGTCTACCCGACCAGCACCGCGGGGGGGGGGGGGGCCCACCCACGGGTGACGTTCACGTCTTAGCAACTGACAGGGAACCACAGAGGCCGCACCGCCCGGCCTCCCGGGGGCCAGGGAGGAGGCTGCCCGGTAAGCCAGGAGGATGGCGGCCAGCCCTGCATACCCCGGGCCCGGTGGCAGCCAGGACGGCCTGGTGACACCTCCTGGCCCCTCTGTTCTCCTCGGTGCCCACTCCGCCCGCCCGCCTCAGAGCCTGGCCCACATGATGGGCTGCCCCCCCACCGCCCCAGGCGGCTGGGCCGGGCCTGACATCGTCCCCCTGAAGCTGCCGCCGTCTGTCATCCAAGGGTGGAGACCCCAGATGCTGTGAGCACCCCACCAGGCCTGGGACGCCAGCCCCGAGCAGAGGCCCCGCCTGCGGGGAGCCCCATGGACAGCAGGGGGCAGCACCAGCGCGTGCAGGCGCGGGGCAGCCAGGACGCCCGGCCGGCCATCCCCGCTGCCCTCCAGGGGCCCGTCAAGGATGGCCTCCCCACCCAGAACCCACCTCCAGTCTCCAGGTCGTGGAAATTGGGGTCCAGGCCGCGGTCCAGCAGCTTGGTCAGCTTCTCCACCGACCGGTGCTGTGTATGGTCCATAAACTTCTTCAGGTTGGTCTAGAGAGGACAGGAAGGAACGGGAAATGTCCACAGGGGCCCAGGCCATTCCTCCACTGGGTCCTGGCCATCTGTGGAGGCCATGGCCAGCTGCAGGGCTCCCCGAAGCTGGAGCCCCAGGGCTGAGCATGGAGTCAGCACAAGGCTGCAGCCACAGGCCTGTCCCGTATTCCCAGGGCCGGTTCTGCGTGTCCACTGCGCCCTTTACAGGACCAGGAGCGGCCTCTGGAGGAGAGCTGGCCACGGGGGTCCAGCCCTGGAGAGTGGCACTGGTGCCCTTCGCCACCCCTTCCAGCGGGGAGAAGACACCCACGGGCCACCACGCTGGCCCCTCACCCCACCTGCACCTGGCCCCGAGGCCCGGGGCCTGCAGAACTGATGAACAGACGCCGATCGTGTGCAAGGCCCCGGGAGCCCACGCCGCCTCGCTGAGGGCCCGCTGCCCACAGGCGCCACCCCAGGGCCAGCTGGAGGGTCTGCGGCTCCGGAGACACACCAGGCCCCCCGACCCCGTCCTGGGGGCGGGCGCCGGCCTGCGCGGCTCACCTCCAGAGCCAGCTGCCCGGACAGCAAGGCGAGATGGCCCTGGTCAGCTGCTGGGCCTCTGTGGGGCGGGACAATCCAGCCCGGCCCTGTCGGCCAGCGTGGTGACGGTTTCCTGCTCTCAGCATACGGCTGGGCTGCCCCCCTTTCTGAGGATGCCCCCCCTCGTCCGCCCAGAGCAGGACCCCATGTGAGAAGACCAGTCTCTCACGCCCCAGAACCTCTCCCCACAGGCCTTCCAGGGCCGCAGCGCAGGACACGGGCCTGACTTGAGACTCTCACGCCGCTCGCGGGCGGGCTGTGTTTAAGCTCGCGCGCACGCTTTCATCCTGGCGGCCGGAGGGCAGGTGCACCCGTGTACCTTTGTGTGGAGCTTGGCCAGCTGCTTCTCGTCCAGGTTGGACTGCTTATACACCCGCTTCTTGTATCGAAACTGGTCCAGAAACAGAAGAGGAAAAGAGATGAGACCTCACTGTGCAGAGGAAACGGCCTGACCCCGGACGTCTGGCAGGAGGGCCGTCCACAGCACGCTGGGCGCTCGGGGAACGGCTGGTGTCCTCCCGCACACAGCTCACCGGGCCATGCAGTGAAACGTGTGACACTCCCTCCCTCATACCACCTCCAGCTGGAGGGGCTCACACGCCCCACACGGCCGGGAGCACAGAATGGCTGCAGCGGCTCCAGACTGCAGCACTCACTCCCAGCGCTGGAAGAGGAGGAGAGTCTGTACTCTGACCACCGGCCACCCGGGGAAGACTTCAAGGAATGTGGCATGGTAACATCATCCCCCATTCCTGACACAGCACCTTGAGTCCCTGGGGTCTCCCCTGAGTAGGAAAATATCTTTGATTTGCTTTGAGATGACCCTTGACCCCTTGTATGGTATGAGGTGACCTCTGACCCTGGGCAGGGGTGAGGACAGGGGAAGGGCAGAGGTGGGCTGATCACCAGTTATCTCTGCTTATGTAAGGCAGAGAGTCCCAAAGGACGGGGCATGGAGGCCCCTGGGTGAGCAGGAGGGGCCCGCCCTCCTTGCTCACACAGGCTGCACAGCACCGGCCCTCACACACAAGCCACCCGGGCAGCAGTACCTCCAGGGAGGGCACGCCCTGGCCCACGGGCTGCGGGTACTCGCGCAGCAGCCGCTCCTCATCCAGGAACTTGCCGTCGCGCCCATTGCTGGCCGGCTGGAAGAGCCCGTAGTTGAGGACGTCCTTCAGCCCCTGGGTGAGCGTGCACAGGACCCGCTGCTTTGCCACCCACACCGTGGCGTCCGGGTTGAAGCGGATGCACTTCTGCGGGAGGGCAGAGTCGTGGGTCAGGGTGGCGGAGAGCCACAGACACCCACGGGGCACAAGCCAGCGGGCCCACGCCGCTCCGGCCCTCCAGCGGCTGGGCCGGGCATGGGGTCTCGCGGGGCTCTCTGGCCACAGAGAAAAGCGTGCTCCTGGCTGGACGGAGACCTTCGTCAGAAGCAAAAGGCCTAGGCAGGGGCCCGGGCCCTCCTCCCACACTGGACTCCTTCCTGCCCGCAGCCTGCCCTGCCCACCTGCTGCCCATGCACCCCACACACTCCGGGGTACACAGCACACAGGCCGACACGCACACACTCCGGGGTACACAGCACACAGGCCGACACGCACACACTCATACTCACACAGCACACACACTCAGTGCTTGAACGTAACACCTGCACACCTTCCTACATACTTATTTTCTTTTTATGTGTGAGTCCTGGGGCCTGAACTCCAGGGCTGGGTGCTTTTCACTCAAGGGGGGCTCTCTACCATTGAGCCACAGCTCCACTCCTGGCTTTTTGGTGGATTATTGGAAATAAGAGTCTCCCGGGCTTTCCTGTCTGGGCTGGCTTTGAACCGTGGCCCCCTCAGCCCTCAGCCTCCTGAGTAGCTAGGATGACAGGCGTGAGCCACCGCGGCCCTGCTTCTTCCCACGGACTTGGAACAGAGTCTTCCAGGACCTGGCCCGCACACGCGCACGCGTGCTCTGTGAACAGCTGGCCTGCTGCAGGCTCGGGGAATGAGAAGAAGTCAGGACACGTTCCGCACACAGGGCTGCTTTCCATCCCCGTCCAGGGCCCATGTGCTGCCCAGTGACTTCATCCTGGTGTGGGTCTGTCTGACGTTTCAGACACGGGTGGCCACCCACACAGGGTCACCGACCACCCACGGAGCTTTTGTGACTGAGTACAGAAGCTCGAAAGCGGCGCGCACACACACCGCCAAAGCAAACAGCGAGGCTGTGATGCGCAGCGGCGCTGAAGGCCGACCACTGCTGCCGGGGACGATCGGTTACTCATCCATGCAGCGTGGGCCTGACGCCAACCGCACACACTTCCAAAGCAGCACCGCCGAGGGCGCCGCGGGCTCACGTCGGCAAGCCCAGCTGCTCAGGAGGCTGAGATTCAGAGGCAGCCCGGGCCGAGACGTAGGTGAGACTCTCACCTCCAATGAAACACCGAAAATCTGAAAGTGGAGCTGTGATTCAAGCGCGAAGCGCAGGCACAGCATTCAGGCCTGAGTTCAAGCCCCAGTACTGGCACGCACACACCACACAAAACAAAGCAAAACAAAAGCAGCAGGCCTTGCGGGGCTGGGCCATGCTGACCACGGCCACGTGGGTCTGTGAGTCTCGAAGAGCAAAGGCTGCATTGTGGGGAAACTTCGAGACTGAGGTTTTTGGCTTTTTTTGGTGAGGCGTGAACTCTGAGCCTGGGCGCTGTCCCTCAGCTCTTCAGCTCAAGGCGAGCGCTCTACCAACTGAGCCACAGCGCCACTTCCAGCTTATTCTGCTTCTATGGTGCTGAGGAATCGAACCCAGGGCCTCATGCATGCAGGGCAAGCACTCCACCACTGAGCCGCTAGGGGCTGGGCCAGACTCAGCTCTTCACGGGGAGGGGCCTGCTCGTTGCCCCCTCCGGACCTAACGCACGCCCCTGGCCAGGAACACGGTCTGGCAGAGGGCATGCCCACCAGAGAAGCCCACACCCTGTGTGTGGACCTGGCCGCTCTCGTGTGCCCCTCTGAGGTCAAAGGCCAAGCTGTGTGTGCCCCTCCCCCACCTTCCCAGGCTACAGCCTGTCCTGAGCCTCTCCCCTCCCCGCAGGGTGAGAACTCTCTGGAAATCCAGGCATCACAGAGGAGGAGGGCTATCAGATGCGGTGTGGTGCGGCCGCAGGCAATCTGCCCATCCCCAGTTCCAGTTCCTCAGGTGATCACCCGCTCCCCACGGGTCCAGGGATTGTCATCGCTGCTCTCGGCTTGCGGCGAAGCCACAGGCAGCCACCCCGGCTCAGGTTCCCTGGGATGGAGAGGCAGGAGGGCGGTCCGGGGAGACACTCCGCCCCCAGGCCCGTCGGGGAGGAGCTCGGCCTGAGTCCCCTCCCAGGGCAGCTGGGTACCACTGTGGTGACAGGAGGGCTGGTGTCCCTGTCATCTGTAGGCGGGGCCGCCAGGCCAGGCCGGCGCCGCCATGCTACGGAAACCAGCTCCGCCCCCCAGCAACCTGCTTTAACACAGCCAGAGCAAGGAGAACCTTCTAGAAAGAACAGGACCTAAGAGGTCAGAAAGACCTGGCTGTGTGTCCCAACCCCAACACACCCGTACACACACACACACACCCGTACACACACACACACACACACACGTACACACCCGTACACACACACACACTCACACACACACATACCTGTGTTCCCTGGCAAACCTGCCAAACTGGAAGCTGCCCTGATTTGGCCATGAAAACCTAGGTCTCCACGTAGCTGGCCAGGCCACCGCAACTAAATCATGTACCACGTCACCCCGGCATGCAGCCCACTTGGAGATGGGGGTCTCTGCAGAGGGGATGGGTCAAGAGAAGGGGCCCTGGAGGAAGGGCCTACCACAGGGAGGGCAGGTCTGCACACAGAGCGGAGGGAGGCGGCCCTGGGGGCGGGGCCACGGGGTGGCCAGGCCGCTGGACGGTGCTCCCAGGAGCCCAGGGACACGGAGGACCCGCGTCCACAGCCAGGACCCAGCCAGCTCTGTGACTTCACTGCCCAGGGTGCGGGCCAAGCCAGCTTGGTTTGGCAACACAGGACCCAAAGAACACGCCGGTCACATGCCGTGGCCCGAGGCCAGTGTGGCTGCTCACCCCTGGCCCGAGGAGGCCCAGCAAGCCGCGCTCAGGCCTGCTGAGCAAACGTGTGTCATCCCCGGGACCGGCTCCCGCTCCACACACGCTCAGATCACACACGCTCAGATCACACACGCTCAGATCCCACTGAGACCGGCTCCCGCTCCACATGACGCTCAGATCCCACACGCTCAAATCACACACACGTTCAGATCCCACCGAGACCGGCTCCGCTCCACACATGCTTAGATCCCACACGCTCAGATCACACACGCTCAGATCCCACTGAGACCGGCTCCACTCCACACACGCTCAGATCCCACCGAGACCAGCTCTGCTCCACACACGCTCAGATCCCACCGAGACCAGCTCTGCTCCACACACGCTCAGATCACACACATGCTCAGATCCCACCGAGACCAGCTCCGCTCCACACACGCTTAGATCCCACATGCTCAGATCACACACGCTTAGATCCCACATGCTCAGATCCCACACACTCAGATCCCACACGCTCAGATCCCACCGAGACCGGCTCCACTCCACATGACGCTCAGATCCCACACGCTCAGATCACACACACGTTCAGATCCCACCGAGACCGGCTCCGCTCCACACACGCTCAGATCCCACACGCTCAGATCCCACATTCAGATCCCACCAAGACTGGCTCCGCTCCACACACACTCAGATCACACACGCTCAGATCACACACACGCTCAGATCCCACCGAGACCGGCTCCCGCTCCACACACGCTCAGATCCCACACGCTCAGATCACACACCCTCAGATCACACACGCTCAGATCACACACCCTCAGATCACACACGCTCAGATCACACACCCTCAGATCACACACGCTCAGATCACACACGCTCAGATCACACACGCTCAGATCACACACACTCAGATCACACACGCTCAGATCACACACACGCTCAGATCCCACTGAGACTGGCTCCCGCTCCACACACGCTCAGATCCCACACGCTCAGATCCCACCGAGACCAGCTCCCGCTCCACACATGCTCAGATCACACACACTCAGATCACACACACGTTCAGATCCCACCGAGACCGGCTCCCACTCCACACAAGCTCAGATCCCACACGCTCAGATCCCACCAAGACCGGCTCCGCTCCACACACGCTCAGATCCCACACGCTCAGATCCCACACGCTCAGATCCCACACACGCTCAGATCCCACCGAGGCCGGCTCCGCTCCACACACTCAGGGAGGGGTCTCCTTCAGCCCACAGCCCGCGGCCACGACCCGGCCTCCAGCGGCTCCTGACAGGGACAGGCCTGACAGGGACAGGCGAGGCGGATCCTCCACGCTGCCCAGGGAGCAGGGGGTGCCGCGGCGGCCACGCGGGACTGGGCGGAGCACCGGGGACGCAACCCAGGACACGGGACCAAGGTGAGTGAGACCACCAGGTACAGGGCACCTGGAAGGCCGGGGGGGGGGAGCAGAAGCGGGGCGGGGCAGAGGCAGGGCGAGCCGGGCTGGCAAGATCTCTGGAGACCGGACCCCACCCCCTCCTCTGAGTTTATTAGATGGCCACCTGATGCAGGAGATGGACACGGGGGTGGGGGGTGCAGCAGCTGGTCTGGAGGCGCAGAGACTGCGGGGGGGCTGCCACTTTGGGAAAGAGACAGCGGAGAGGAGGGGGGGAGGTGCAGAGACGTGAGGGAACAGGGAAGAAGAGAGGGATGGACGGAGTGGCGATAAATCGTCTTTGCGAGGCCGGAGCACCCAGCAGCCCCACCCCCACCCCCGCTGTCTGCAATCCCCAACTGCCAGGGCTCCACCACGAACGGAACCACGGCGAGAGCAGTTTCCCGCAGTGTGTGCCAGGGGGCGGTGTGGCCCTGGCACCTCTGCCGGCAAGCCAGGGCCGCAGACACCAGCACCGGGGCGCTAGCCCTGGGGCTGAGCTGGGGGCGGCGGTGAGGCCCCACTCGAGCCCCCCCACCCCAACCTGGCAGCCCGATCAGGCTTCAGCCTTCCAGCTCCTTGGGACCCGTCATCCAATGGGGACCCAAAGCACCTACTATGTGCGCCCCCCGCCGGCCTCGTCCCCACCTCCAAAAGGGCAAAGTACAGAAGCGCTCACTTCTGCTGGTATTGACTTTGGCACTGGTCACTTCTTTTGAAAGGACAAGTTGTCGGGCCGGTGCCAGCACTGCATTGCATCATGCACTTGGAATGTTCCAGACACAACCTGCATAGTCCCAGCACAGTCCACCGCTGTCCCCTGTAAGCCCTCCAAACCCACAGTCCCATCCAGCCCGGCCCAGCAGGGTCCGAGTGATCCCAGAGGGCCAGCTGGCTGCCTTTCCAAGACCGTCCCCAGAGGGCGGGGCCCGGGCCCAAGCTTGCTGGCTGCCTTGCCGCTCCGGGCGGGCTTCCAGAACTGTCTGCATCTCCGCTGGACAAAGGACTCTGTACACGGGAGACCGCACGCGGAACAACGCCGCTCTGTCCCCAGGAACTCAGCCCGTGGGATTCTGAGCACAGCCTCCAGGAGTTTTGTTTGTCTCCAACAACGTGAAGGGAAGAAAGTTCCAGAGACACTCTCCTGGGAAGGGAGCCGGCCCCTCCAAGGCTGCTCCCTTTATGAAGCCCCCTCGTACCCCAGGGGCTTCTAGTGACAGGAAACACAGATGAGACCCCCCAGGAATGAGCAAGCCCCCACCTGGTGAAGGTCTCGTTCAGGAAGGGGAGGAAGGGCGGGGTGGGGGGCATTGGCCGCCCTGGGCCACAGTGACGCACCCCTCCTCTCCCTCTCCCTCCCCTTCCCAGGCCCCTCCCCTCCCCTGCCTCCCCTTTTCATCTTTGGTACTGGAGAAGGATCCAGAAAGCCTGGCATGTCCTGGGAGAGCCATTCCCCCCACCCCTCCATGGCACACTCCGCAGCCTCCTGTCAGGGCCCGGGGTCCCCACACCGTGTGCCTGGCCCTCCCCACAGAGGACAGGGAAAATGCCCGGTTCCGTTCAGCTTCCAGACTCTGCTCGCAAACGCCCGCCAAGATGGCTGGGGACGAGGCCGGGGCTGCGTAGCACGTGTGTGCGGGGCTTCACGCGTGTGCGTGGCTGTACACAGCCTGGCGCCGGGGACTGTGAGCGGAGACGCGCAGACGCCCATCCACACGGGGCGTGGACCGCTGCACGGACCCGCCAGCCAGCCACGAGCACAGGACCCACAGCCACGCGCCTTTTCTGGAAAGACTCGACGTGGCCGATCCCAAACCCTTTCCAGCGCAGTGGCTGAGGCCAGGTCAGGGGACAGTCCCTGGAAGCTGAATGGGCACCTCCGAGTGGCACCCGGAGCGGCCCGGCCGCAGCCGCAGCCCGCAGCCCACCAACCGGGGAGACGGACGCAGAGGAACATGCCTGGTTCACACCCGGTCAAGACGGCTTGCCCGAAACCCCCAAACCGGTCCTGTCTGCGTGTTCACGGTCAGCGGCGCAGACACACGTAACTCCACGGGAGACAGAGGGGCCCGCCTTCTTCCCGCCACCCTCACGTGACGGACATGCTGCTTCAGTGGACTTAGCGCCACGGCTTTTGCCTTGTGGGTGGGTATTTTGCCATTATAACCAGCTCTCCAGCACAGGATCACGGGAAGGCGGAGGTGGGCCTTACAGAGAGAACGTGGGTTATAGCAGCGCCACGCAGGCCTCGGTTCCGAGCTAGCCAGCCCCTGACGGGAAACAGGGAGGCTCTGCAGTGCACAACCGAATCCACGCCAGAAGCTCCACACACAACCAACGCCAGCGGCCAGCTGCGTTCACTGAGCCGCTCTGCCGCAGGAACTCATCCAAAAACAGGCAATAGAGCCACAAAATCCCCTCCAAGATGCCCAGCCAACACCAGCCAAACGGGAGAAAAGATGGCTGCTGCTGGACAGCACCCATGCCTGGCAGAGGCCGGGCTGCCGGGACTCCGAGAGCTTGGTGTCAGCGATAGCAAATACCTTTGCACCCCCAAGAAACAGGCTGTGTGTGTATGTGTGTGTGTACACGCACACCCAAAGCTACCAGCGCTCTCCAGACCTTTCTGGGGTATCCTGACCCCCACATGCAGACCCTGCCTGTCAAAGCTGGGTCAGGACACTGCTCTTCCAAGGGGTGGACCCCGAGGGGCTAGGCACGACACCTTGAGCACCAGTGCCTGGCTCCCATCACCACCACGGCCCCTGCCACATGGTGCTCGGTGACACTTGGATGGGGGCAGAGCCTGACACAGGCTGGGGAGGCCGGGGAGGGGAGGCCGGGGAGGGGAGGCCGGCTGGAGGAGGAGCACAGGTTTGTGGGGGGAGAGGAGGAGCATCTCCACGAGGCCCCAGCTGGAGGCTGCCGGGCACCGGGTCTCACCGTCTGCTGCAGGTCCTGGATGATCACGCGGATGACCAGCGTGTGGCCCTGGGCCTCCTCGGCGCGCGCGCCCGCCGGCCTGTCCGCCACGGCGCGGATGGTATCGTAGGTGCTCTCCCCCCTGGAGCTGTCCGACTCCGAGCCCACGGAGTCGTCAGAGAAGCTCTGGGCCATCTCGTCCTCGCTGGACGTCGGGCTCCGCGGCATGGCTGCTGAGCCGCTGCTGAGGAAAAGGAGAATGGACCATGTAACAAAATGTGACCCAATCCGGGGGTTCCCAGAGATCGGAGGAAAGCGGGTCTCTCCGTGTGGCTTCAGGCCAAGGGTCACAGGTGTGCGTGTGTGTGTGTGTTCTAAAGGCAACACAAATCCACCAGCGTCTCCCTCCCCCAGCCCGGGCCGAGGGGAGGGCACGCAGGGCCTGGGCCGAGGGGAGGCCCCCGGGCAGCCCCTGACCTCTGGCCCCGATGCTGCGAGGCGCCCCCTCACGCAGCCAGACAGCCGCGTGGCCACAGCTCTAGCCGCGGCCACTGTGTCCATCCGAGGGGTGCACAGTTTGAAATCTCCCACACAAGGCAAACGGCTCGCTCAGGCCTGTCTCTGAGGACAGGGCGGCAGGAGAGGAATAATGGCAGGCGTCGGGTGGACCGGCAGCAATAACCCGGGGCTCCCTACCCACAGCCGCCGCCGCCCCCCCACCTCCGACGCCCTGCGTGCCCCTCGCCGCCCCCCACCTCGCCGCCCCCCACCTCCGACGCCCTGCGTGCCCCTCGCCGCCCCCACCTCCGATGCCCCGCGTGCCCCTCGCCGCCCCCCACCTCGCCGCCCCCCACCTCCGATGCCCCGCGTGCCCCTCGCCACCCCCCATGTGCCCCTCGCCGCCCCCCCCACCTCCGACGCCCCCCCACCTCCGACGCCCCCCCACCTCCGACGCCCCCCCACCTCCGACGCCCCCCCCACCTCCGATGCCCCGCGTGCCCCTCGCCACCCCCCCCATGTGCCCCTCGCCGCCCCCCCACCTCCGACGCCCCCCCCACCTCCGACGCCCCCCCACCTCCGACGCGCCCCCACCTCCGACGCGCCCCCACCTCCGACGCCCCCCCACCTCCGACGCCCCCCCCCACCTCCGACGCCCCGCGTGCCCCTTGCCACCCCCCACCTCCGACGCCCCGCGTGCCCCTCGCCGCCCCCCACCTCCGACGCCCCGCGTGCCCCTCGCCGCCCCCCACGTCCCCCCCGCCACCCCCCCCCCACCTCCAGCGCCCCATGCCTGGCTCCGGGTCAGTTCCGCTCTGCCCATCGCGTCCAGCCCCCCTCAAGCCCAGGCCTGGGCAGGTATTCTGCGGTTCGCTCCCACTCCTGTGTTCTTTGACTGGGGTGAGGGTGTGGGCTGGGAACACACTGGGAAGCCTCCAGGGAACATGGGGAAAGCCGGGTCCCCCCACACCCCAGTGCACTTACACGCACAGCGCCCCTCCCAGGCGGCTCCGACCCCCCCCACGCACACACCTCCCGCACACACCTCCCGGCCCTCCGCGCACAGCCCAACCACTGAGCTCTCCAGGAAGACCAGGAAGCGCAGGACCGGGATGACTCAGAGGCGGGCCTCAGCAACCAGGGGAGTATCGCACAGCCATAAAGAAGGGGAAGTGTGTCACGGGGGGACGGGCGGAACCGGGCATCACCCAACAGGACGGCTGTGCTGAAAAAGCCAGACACCACCTTCCACTCACCAGGGACCCAGACACACGCACAGAGACACGCTGATACGTGTTTATACACATGCAACGTGATGATCATGTGATGATCATCATGTGACCACAGGGCAGGGGAGAAAGAGAACCCCAGGGAACAAATCCTACCAAACTCATGGTGTCGGGGCACGCGGGAGGCATGGGAAAGCTGATGGGAGGGAGGGAGGGAGGGGGGGGAGGGAGGGAGGGAGGAGGGAGGGAGGAAGGGAGGGAGGGAGGGAGGGAGGGAGCGAGGGAGAGAGGGGGGAGGGGGGGGAGGGGGGGAGGGAGGGAGGGGGGGAGGGAGGGAGGAAGATGCACTTAATTCAACCAAATTATAACACAAGCAAGTCTGGAGTGCCAGGGCAAACCCTCCCTTGTGCCATTATCTTTTGAAAAAATGAAGGACAGCAAAGTGAAAGAGGCCTGGGGGAGCGGACTGTGGGGAGGGCAGGCAGGGAGGGGGGAGGCCTGGGGCAGCGGACTGTGGGGAGGGCAGGCAGGGAGAGGGGAGGCCTGGGGGAGCGGACTGTGGGGAGGGCAGGCAGGGAGGGGGGAGGCCTGGGGGAGCGGACTGTGGGGAGGGCAGGCAGGGAGGGGGGAGGCCTGGGGGAGCGGACTGTGGGGAGGGCAGGCAGGGAGGGGGGAGGCCTGGGGGAGCAGCCGTGTGGTGTGGGGAGGGCAGGTAGGGAGCGGGGAACTTTACCTGCACCTGAAAGTCCAGTTCCGAGGCCTGCTGGGCTGGCTGAAGCTGAGGGAGCGGGGAGGGAGGGAGGGATGCGGCTGATGGGAACGCACTCACCCGTGAGGGGTCTCCAGGACTCCATCCTACCAGGACTGGATGCTATTTTTTTTTTCTTTTGGTCAGTCATGGGTCTTGAACTCTGGGCCTGGGTGCTGTCCCTCAGACTTTTAGCTCAAGGCGAGTGCTCTACCACGTGAGCCACAGCGCCACTCCTGGTTTTCTGATGGTTCACTGGAGATAAGAGTCTCATGGACTTTCCTGCCCCAGGTTGGATTTGAACTGCGATCCTCAGATCTCAGCCTCCTGAGTAGCTAGGATGACAGGCGTGAGCCACTGGCGCCCAGCTAAGTTTATTAATCATCATGAGACAAAGCTCAGACACCAAGCTGCCCCCAACCCGGCTCACAAGCACGAGGTTTCAGGTGTTTACAAATCGAGCAATTTCATCCCCCAGCCCAGATTCTGGGACCGTGCGGTGGGGCTGGGGCCTGTCACGGGGTGGGGTACGGCCCCTCCCCAGCTCTGCTGGGCATCCGGCTGCCCTCACGCAGCCCCGGCCTCCCACATCACCCGCGCTCACTCCAGCGCTGACCACCCTGTGACCTTCACCCCCTGACAGAAGCTGACAAGGGCACAGAAGAGCCCGAGATGCCAGGCGGGATGCATACCAGAGCAGCCACTGCGGAGGTCGGGGTGAAGACGCCTCGAGAAACCGAACACAGAGCTACCTCCCCTCCAGCCAGAAGCCCTTCCAGGGGCCAGTCACAGCACTGCCTGTTCACCACGCTGCCCAGAACCCAGCACGCTGCGGAGACAGCCCGGAGGCCCCACAGCCAACAAACAGACCAAGAAAATGTGTGCGCACACACTCACACTCACACACACACACACACACTGCCCAGAACACAGCACGCTGCGGAGACAGCCCGGAGGCCCCGCAGCCAATGAACAGACCAAGAAAATGTGTGCGCACACACTCACACTCACACACACACACACACACACACACACTGCCCAGAACACAGCACGCTGCGGAGATAGCCCGGAGGCCCCACAGCCAACAAACAGACCAAGAAAATGTGTGCACACACGCACACACACACACACACACACTGCCCAGAACACACGCCGCCCAGAACACAGCATGCTGTGGAGACAGCCCGGAGGCCCCACAGCCAACGAACAGACCAAGAAAATGTGCACACACACTCACACTCACACACACGCTGCCCAGAACCCAGCACGCTGCGGAGACAGCCCGGAGGCCCCGCAGCCAATGAACAGACCAAGAAAATGTGTGCACACACACACACACACACTGCCCAGAACCCAGCACGCTGTGGAGACAGCCCGGAGGCCCCGCAGCCAACGAACAGAACAAGAAAATGTGTGCACACACACTCACACTCACACACACACACACACACACACTGCCCAGAACACAGCACGCTGCGGAGATAGCCCGGAGGCCCCGCAGCCAATGAACAGACCAAGAAAATGTGTGCACACACACTCACACACACACACACACTGCCCAGAACCCAGCACGCTGTGGAGACAGCCCGGAGGCCCTGCAGCCAACGAACAGAACAAGAAAATGTGTGCACACACACTCACACTCACACACACACACACACACACACACACTGCCCAGAACACAGCATGCTGCGGAGATAGCCCGGAGGACCCGCAGCCAATGAACAGACCAAGAAAATGTGTGCACACACGCATACACACACACACACACACACACTGCCCAGAACACACGCCGCCCAGAACACAGCATGCTGTGGAGACAGCCCGGAGGCCCTGCAGCCAACGAACAGACCAAGAAAATGTGCACACACACTCACACTCACACACACGCTGCCCAGAACCCAGCACGCTGCGGAGACAGCCCGGAGGCCCCGCAGCCAATGAACAGACCGAGAAAATGTGTGCACACACACTCACACTCACACGCTGCCCAGAACACAGCACACAGTGGAGACAGCCCAGAGGCCCCGCAGCCAACGAACAGACCAAGAAAATGTGTGTGCACGCACACACCTGTGCATGCACACACACACACACACACACACACACACACTGCCCATAACACAGCACACAGTGGAGACAGCCCAGAGGCCCTGTAACCAATGAACAGATCAAGAAACGTGTGTGTATACACATACACACACACACACACACACATACACACACGCACACACACAGGTGCAGGCAAGCACGTGCAACCACAAGAAAACAGTGCCGCGCTACGATGTAAACCCTTTGAATAATTCACAGACAGCCTAACAAAACGAGAATCAGGACGCTGAGCCGTGTTAAGGGAAGGTGGGCGAGAGCAGGAGGAGGGCGGATAGTGGGAAAGGAAGGTGGAGGCTTGGGGTCATGGGAGAGGAGAAGGGCTGGAGGGGGGGTTGGGGGGAGGGGGCGGGAGGGGAGAGCAATGGAGGCCCTGACTCTGATCTGCGCGCACTGGACACACAAATGTACGGCCACATTGCAACACCCTTGTTCCACCTTCTAAAGATGAATAAACTTTTCAGGGCATGTGAATATTCCTGCAATCTCAACAGACATCTTCCCAGTCACAGAAATGCCAGACCCCTGGAGGGCGGAGGGCGGAGGGCGGAGGGCGGAGGGCGGAGGGTGGAGGGCGGAGGGCTGGAGGCCTCGCAGCTCGGTTCGCTCTCTCCACCCTCCCCGTAGCTGGCCACCGCCCGCAC